GTGAATCACTCCACTGGCTATAATAAAGGCACCAATAATCTGTTTTTTATTTGTCAAATAAAAATATAATTTTTATATGAAATCCTACTCTATAGTCTATAGTTGAATATCATTTTTACATATTTGCCTTGGTCAGTTTTGACAAAACAATAAAAACACCACTCCATCTTTATTTCTCTTCTCTTGAGACTAATAGACAATTCTATTTTACAATATTTAATATATAAAGCATTCAGAAGTCAAAATGTGTGGCATTTTTCACCTTGCCAATTTCATGTTAAGTCAAGGGCCTGTTACCAGGCCAAGAAACCCAAATTTAGACAAAAGCAATCCATTGGGATCAGAAATTTGCCAAATCTCATAATTCAAAAAGAAACTGTTAAAGACGGTTGTGAGGTTTTGGCACTGTGATTTCAAGTCATTCCATAATTGGGTTTGTATTTCATCTAATCAGCGAATCGGAAACTATAAAAGTTTGGGTGGTGTGGGGGAATTAAAATTTGGATTGTAATACACAAGTCTTTCCTTCCCTTCCATATGTTTAAGTGAGTTAAAATTTCTAAATCCCGTTTTTTTAAAATGCCTTATAAAAAATAAAGCAGCCTGTAAAATCATATTTTTGGTACAGGAAACTTAAAATATTAAGGCTTGAAAAGAACTTGGAAAAAAAGAATATACTGTTTGTACAGCCAAAGTAGTGTCAGACTCTAGGTATATTCAGAACCAAGTACATTTAAACTTTCAATTTTTTTTTTCTAAATGACCTTTTCTTCATTTTTGAAAATCAGGCATCTTATACTTGTATCAATATTTTTCAAAGGTGGTCATTTATCAATTTAATTAAAAATAATGTCAGTTGAAATCCTTGAGAACATCTCAAAGATAGTATTTGGGGCAAGTGATATAGATGAATTATATTCTTAAGTGGAGCTATATGAATTATCATACTGTCAAAATAATAAATGAAAATGGTTTTCATAAGTTAAAACAATTTTTTTTCTGATTAAACTCAATATATTAAAACCTCTAAATGGCAGAAATAGCAACTTGTCGCCATAAACTTTAAGTAATGTTCTCTTTTTCCTTTATTTTTTTTCTGTTGAGCCTTATATTGATTTATTTCATAATTTTTTAATTTTATTTCCTTTTCCTTTTGTTTTTATATGGAAATATTTCTTCACTTTATTCTCCTATCCTTCAAATGAAAATTGTTTTGATATCATATTTTTTATTTTATTTATGTTTTTATTTATTTTCAATTATGGCTTACATTCAATATTATCTTACTAGAGGCCCAGCCATTATGGCGTCACAGCCACAGGCCTTTTATGATATAGATATTAGTTTCCAGTGTACAACATAGTGGTTAAGACATTATATACTTTACAAAGTGATTGCCCCCCAGTAATTCTACAACCCACTTAGCACCATACATAGTTATTATAATATTAGTGACTATATTCCCTACACTTACTTTACATCCCCGTAACTATTCTGTAATGGCCACTTTGTACTTCTTAATCATTTCACCTTTTTACCCAGCCCTTTCAGCCCCTCCCATCTGGCAATCATTAATCTATTCTCTGCATCTATGAGTCTGGTTCTGTTTTGTTTGTTCATTTATTTTGTTCTTTAGATCCCACATATAAGTGAAATCATATGGTATTTGTCTTTCTTTGTCTGACATATTTCACTTAGCATAATACCCTCTAGGTCAGCCGTGGGCAAACTATGGCCTGCGGGCCAGATCCGGCCCGTTTGAAATGAATAAAACTAAAAAAAAAAAAAGACCGTACCCTTTTATGTAATGATATTTACTTTGAATTTATATTAGTTCACACAAACACTCCATCCATGCTTTTGTTCCGGCCCTCCGGTCCAGTTTAAGAACCCATTGTGGCCCTCGAGTCAAAAAGTTTGCCCACCCCTGCTCTAGGTCCATCCATGTTGTTGCAAATGGTAAGATTTCAGTCTTTATAATGGCCAAGTAACATTCCATTGTGTATTTATACCACATCTCCTACCTCCAATGGTCTATTGATGAGCACTTATGTTGTTTCTATATCTTGGCTATTGTAAATAATGCTGCAATAAACATAGGGGTGCACATATCTTTTTGTATTAGTGTTTTTAAAAGCTCTTTCTCATTTTTCATTATTTATGTTTTAATGACATCCTGCTTCATGAAATACTTCACTGCCATCTCTTTCTAACAATTTAAGAAATGTGTTTTCATCTCTTTCTTTCATTGTCCTCCTAATAATTTGTATCAGTTCCAATCTTTTACATTTGAGGCTTTTATATTATGATTTGTGATCTGTGGCTGTGCATATATAAATGTTTTTTTTTAAATCCTCACCTGATACCATGATTTTTAGTGATTTGAGAGAGACCAAGATAGAGACAGACACAGAGAGAGAGCAAGAGAGACAAAGAGAGAAAGAAACATCAATGTATGAGACAAATATTGCCATCTGCCTCCCCTATTCTCTCCCTCCCTCTACTAGAGATCGAACTTGCAACCTAGGTATATGCCCTGACCGGAAATCAAACCCACACACAGCCTTCTGGTGTATGGACAATGCTCCAACCAATTGAGCCATCTGGCCAGGGCATCCGCCCATTGATATTTAGCAGTAAGTTAAATAAAAGCTGAATGATGTTCCTTAGGCACAGATGTGCTTCCTAGACTAGACAGATTCACTTCTGTGTATCTGCTTTAGGAACTATCAATTATAGGGCCTCTCCAAAAGTAGGTATGTGGAAATGGTTTTTTTACAATGACCAGTTTCTCTAGAAAATAATTCAATAATTTCTTGGGAGGCGGGATGTGTGTGGGGTGGTGAGGTGGGGTAGCTGGTGGAGTATACACTCTGTGCTGTTGGTGTTCTGCATGTGGTAGGGGAGGGTACTGACGATCGAGTATCCACTGGAAGACATTCACTCAATCTTCTTTTCATTCCCTTTCATTCCATTTTCAATTGTGCAAGCTGTTGCTGAGAACTGACCTCTATTATTCAACAGCTCCGCCACCATTGAGCCTCCTTCCCCTTGTCATACAGGTGAAGTGCCTGGTTGGGGCATGTGTACATGGGGGAGAGGTCTGGCTGCTCCATTCGTTATAACTGATTACCTCATTTTATGCTCTTTAACTCTCATCTAAGCTGGATGCCTCAAAATCTTGAGTGGTCTCCCCAGGTTTCTTTCTGAGTATGTAATATATCTTTTCATTGTTATCCCATCCCAAAACCAGCTCTGAGAAATCAGTTGTAATATCTCCTTCCACTTTCTGACTTCCAAAATCAATTTAACTATCATCTCTTCTCTCACTCTGATCGTTCCCATGAGATTATTCTTTTTCAATCTTTTATTCAGTAAAAGTTTATTCTAATTTACCAACATAGTAACCATTACTTTGTTTACCATTCTTTCCATACCTCACTAAGTAATTCTTTCTAGATTTAATTGTTTTTTTGAAGGACATCCATAATTTATTTGGCAAAAGCTTTCAGTGGGCTGATTTTTTATTTAATTTCTTGGCCTAGAAATTCCCTGATTATGCAAATAAAGTAAATTCAAAACCCAAAGCCTGGTAGGAAAAGGACTTAAAATAAACTCCCAGCAGAGACTTCCTTCATTCTCCATTCAGATCCCATGCTGAGACAGGCTACTTTCTTGTATCAGTATGCAATCTTAGTCTGTATTATCCTTTCACTAAGAATATAAATTTATCTACTTTATTAGGCATCTAATTCCTAGCCTTCCACTTAATCTGGAGCTTTGTCTCTTATTCCAGCAAGAACAAAAACAAACAAACAAACAAACAAAACACCTCTTCCCTTCCCACAGGTTGTCACAAGCAGTAAACTATCCCAAATCAGCTACAGGATAGTCTGCTGTTTACTGTTATGGTGTTTAGTTCTTTCATTTCTAGCTACAGGAAAATTCTCTCACTACTTTTTGAGCTCAGCTATGCATTAAGAGGATATGTGTTATATTTTATTTAGCATTCTAGACTTTTTTTTAGTGAGATGTTTTCTGGTTACTTAGTCTGCCCATATAATTTCTCTAATAGCATTTTAGTGATATCTTAGAATAGATACATTTTAAGTGTTTAATCTATCATCTTCTGTGAGAAAGTAAATGCTATTACTTTTGAATAATTATAAGATACATTTCTATGCACTCACTTAGGAATCACTTTCCTGACCTTTTGCTCTGTGTTCCTTATATTCATTTATTTTTATTAATATTGGAGAAAGATCAGGTGATGTAACTAAAGCAGGATAGGTAATAGATTCAGATTAGGATTGAAGGCTAGTTCTATTGAGTGGCTGGATAAGCTCAGAAACGTCACATATTTTGGACAATCATCTGTTGTATCAAATAAAAATATTAATAATACTTTCAAACACATGAAATTTTGGCATTTGTAAGTAATAAGAGTAGAATATCAGCAATTTCTTGTGCTTCAAACTGACACCACTTTCATGGAACGTGGCCTCTAAGAGTGCTTGTCACATAATGAGTGGCCAAATGGTGGCTCCACTTCTTTGATAATAATTTCAGTTAGAAGAAATTCCAGGTGATACTGATCCACACACACATACACCAGTTTGCCTATTTTAAAAGAATTAGACTTAGTTTTACATTACTGCCAGTTTGGGGTTAATATTGGCTTGTAGAACTATAGTAACATAATAACATAATCTTTGTACAAATATTGTTATTATGACAATTCATTATGTAACCACAAATTGGGGATTCTTCAATTATATGTTTTCATTAAGTTACATCAGGGATCATGACATGTCAAATTTTATATAAAGCAAACCCTACAGTCAAAGAAATACTTTTTTCCACATTTTCTATATAGGGTTCTAACTTAGTGTTGCTATCATTATGAGTCAACTGGCTAAGAACCAGCACCTCCAACCACATCCAGCTCGGTCTGCATGGAGAAAACCAATTTCTAAAGGATGAGGAAGGTAGGTACTCACCGTTAGAGCTAGGAGTTTCCCATAGGTGAGATGAGCAGGAATGTGGTCAGTCTTGGATCTCAGTGATTCCATATACCAGTGCTCTGCCTCCGGGAGTTTGCTTAACCGCATGTATGCTTCACCTGGAAAATGAAGCGTGAAAATCAATCTGAGGACACAGCTCTCCAAGAGCCTTTGCAGCAGCATCGCATCACTATGCTTATATCCCGTGACATTTCCAGTACTTTCGTCTGCTATCTCATTTTATTCGCTACAAGTCGTCATCATTCCATTTTACAGAAGAGAAAACATGTCTGGAGAAATTAAGTGAAATGGCTAAAATAGAAAGTGTACTAAGTGGTAAAACTTTAATTTTTAATCTAGGAACATCTGATTCCCAAGTGTATGTGCTTTGTCACCATTTGTGTGTGTGTGTGTGTTTCGTAAAATAAGTGTTTTTTCTTATGTATAATCATTTGCTTTTTTAATTCATATTCATTCATTCCTTTAGAAACATAAGCATTTATAATATAACTATTAAGTGAAGAGCGTTATGCAGGATCCAGAGGAGAGAAGTTTAGGGTCCTACCCTCTAAGGTTTACAACCGCATTGAGAAAGTTGGATTAAATGAAGGAATGACAAACTCATGATTATGCATTAATGTTAGATTTTTTCAGAATTATTTGCACTTTATATTTTAATAAGTAAACAAACTTTACCACTTTCATTTTTAAATCTATATGACAAATTATTTATCATGCCCAGCACCAACTCTAAAGCTAGTCGGAGGCCTTTGAGGTATCTGTTATTACTTTCAGTTTATATAAATTTTACCTACTAAATAACATTTTACTAGTAGCTAAGTAAGAGTAAAATAATTGGAAATAATGCCAAAAGTATAGCAGTTGCTCTTTTATTATAATGCCTCTCTCCCTTATATGATTATGGAGAACAATCACCCAATAGAAAAATTATATTTTAAGATAATTTATGTATTTAAGTTAAATATTGTAGCTTTAATAAGCACTGCAAATGTAGAAGCTATTCAGTTTCTGAGACCAAGCAATAGACTGGTAACCTGCATTATTTTTCAAGCAGACTTTTACAGCTTAACTAATCATCATTATGATAGCTTTTTCCATTTATACTCATAATCAGTTGTTTTTTCTATATGCATTACCTACATTGATTGTATATCCTTATATCAAGGATGAGCTAGCTTCCTTTTATTTTAACCATATTCTCCTTCAATCAGTACAGCATTGTCAATACTAATATGTTTGATGAATTGAATTAATTTGAGTCTCCTGACCTTTTGAGTGCCCCTGGCTCAACTGGTCAGTAAAAAATATTGGTGAAAAGTATATGTATGCATCTACTTACATACATCTATGTGTTCTAGTTCTGAGAATAGTCCTTAAATTATACTATCATGAAACTAATAGCTAGAAAACGTTTTGTATTGTTTTACTAAACCTAAAACGTGTTCGCACTTTAAAAGAATTTGATTAGATTCAATCTCATGCTTGAGGTGAGATGCAAGAACTACTGAAGTAAAGGCCGAAGACTGCAATGAAATACACAAAGTGCTCACAGTTGTTAGACTGGTAAGATTAGGAATAAATTTTTTAATTTTCTGTAATAACTATATTGTTTTTTGTTACAATATCTTTATAAAAACTGAAATGCTGTCAAAGTTATATTTTATTTTTTTTGCCACGACAAACTAACAAATGTTCATTAATAAAGAAAATAGTAATTTTTCTTAGGAAAAGTGAACTGCTCTTCACATTAAAACTATTCTAGATATAATTTATATAACAGGAAGGATGCACAATCTCTAAAGTACTGAAATTTTTAAAGCAATTAATGGTAAATTGTATTCAAATATTTATCTCTAAAATGTATTCTAAAGCCAGCAGAAAACATACTAACATCACAGTTACAGCTGAAAATGGGCTTGTTTGCAGGTTGTTTGGAATCAACCTGAAATTCTACTTTGGATCTTCAAGTGTTCATAAGTCACTTTTTAGAAGTTGTACAATCATTGCATTTAATATAGTTTCTACTTTTTATTGATAAAAATTCCAATTAATTTGTAGAATAATAACAGTAGGCTTTCTGTCTAGTAAAAGAATGCAAGAGAACCACAATGCCATAGAGCTTGAGATTCAAATATCTATATTTAAGTTGATGATGTCTGAAGATCACTTCAGAAAGCGTACTTTCTTTCTAAATCAGAAATCTATCATTATTAAAGCCTACTTTTGAAATGAAATATTATTAATTTACTAAATAATTCATGGCTGGCCCATTGTCTTCAGTAAAAACTCATAAGCAATTATTAGTTTGTAAAGCTTGTGACATGGAAAAATATCAAAGGACTAGAAATAGAAAATATAATCTAATAATGCATCTTGGAAAATATATGAAAAATGTACATAGCCAACCTAGTTGGGTATTATCCATTACAACTTAGAAAATTTTTATATAACCACTCATTATATTTCAGTAATAAAAACAATTTCAATGACAATAATTCACTGAAGTTTACTATGAATCAGAATAGCAAGCAGGGGGATGGGTAAATGTCTGATTTATATGTTCCCATGCATCACATTCTGCATCTTTGGGCGTGCAAAATGTTTTCTCATTTCCCTCAAGAAGCCTTAACTAATTACCACCATTCAGTAACTACGAACTATTCAGTAGGTTTGTAAAATGAAACATGTTTTCAGTCTATTAGTTGCTTTATATATGCATCTCATTTGTTATTAAGAAATGTCATTACCTGGATTTTACAAACGAGGAAAGTGAGCAGCATAGTGGCTAAATAAAACACAAAGACTCATAAATGTAGAAACTGTAAAGCTGCGATTCAGCCCAGGCCTGTCTGGCCTCAGAGCACACTGCTTCACCCAGCTGCTACAGACTAATCACAAACTTTCCGCCGCTCTGGTTCAGGTGAAAATTACACTCTCTTTCTTACTCCAAGAAAATTGTTTTCTAGTCTGTGATAATTTGCCATGGAGTTTATTTCACTTTGCCTTGGGCTTATCTCTTGAATTAAAGGACTAAGGAAGAGCAATAATAATCCATGGATGACCTTTAAAGATGCTGCTGCCGCAGACGTTACTCAATTCTTAAGGGGGAAATATTTAGCATCTAAGATGCACTTCAGTTCTAAGGGTAACTTCAACACAAAAAGAGTCCATAAAAGTGGTAATAAAATCAAGATGCAAAACCTAAAATGCAAGAAAATGGTCATATATCAACTTAAATGTGTTTAAATGGTAACTCAATAAAGATTTAAGCAATAAACAAGTACTGACAAGGTAGGGGCTTCATATTTCTCATTTCTAATTCACAGAAGGAGTTAGAATACTCATTTTATGGATGAGAAGGAGGCTCAGGTATGATAAGTGACTTGCAGGAGGACAAGTAGAAATCCCATCCAAAAAGGTTTGAATGGCCCTAAAGCCCATGTTTTTTTCCATTGCATCAGGCTGCCTATCAAATAAAATTTATTATTTATTGACTACCTACTAAGGTCTTTAATATGTTATCTCATATTTTTACAGTATGCTTACACTGCAATTAATACCTGTCTCATTTTACAAATGAAGTGACTGCTGCTCACTGAGATTAAGCAACTTGATTCTACCAATCCATGAACACGGTATGTTCTTCCATCTGTTTATGTCTTCCTCTATCTCTTTTTTCAGTGTCCTGTAGTTTTCCGCATATAGGTCTTTTACCTCCTTAGTTGTTTATTCCTAGGTATCTTAATTTTTTTGGTGCGATGGTAAGTGGGATTGCTTTTTTAGTCTCTCTTTCTGTAAGTTCACTATTGGTGTATAGAAATGCCATAGATTTCTTGGCGTTAATTTTGTATCCTGCTACATTGCCGAATTCATTTATTAAGTCTAATAATTTTTTGATGGAGTCTTTAGGGTTTTCTATGTACAGTATCATGTCATCTGCAAATAAGGACAGTTTTACTTCTTCTTTTCCAATTTGGATGCCTTTTATTTCTTCTTCTTGTCTGATCACAATGCCTAGTACTTCCAGTACTATGTCGAACAGGAGTGGCGAGAGTGGGCATCCCTGTCTTATTCCTGTTCTTAGGGGAAATGGTTTTAGTTTTTGCCCATTGAGTATGATGTTGGCTGTGGGTTTGTCATATATGGATTTTATTATGTTGAGATATGATCCTTCTATTCCCACCTTGCTGAGAATTTTTATCAGAAAAGGGTGTTGAATTTTGTCAAATGCTTTTTCTGCATCAATTGATATGACTATGTGGTTTTTTTCTTTCAATTTGTTTATGTGGTGTATCACGTTTATTGATTTGCGGATATTGTACCATCCTTACATCCATGGTATAAATCCTACTTGGTCATGGTGTATGATCTTTCTGATGTACTGCTGGATCCGATTTGCTAAGATTTTGTTGAGGATTCTGGCATCTATGTTCATGAGGGATATTGGCCTGTAATTCTCTTTCATTGTGTTGTCTTTACCTGGTTTTGGTATTAGGGTGATGCTGGCTTCATAGAATGAGCTTGGAAGTGTTCCTTCCTCTTGAATTTTTTGGAATAGTCTGAGGAGGATAGGTTTTAGTTCTTCCTTGAATGTTTGGTAAAACTCCCCTGTGAAGCTGTCTAGACCTTGGCTATTGTTTGCTGGAAGCTTTTTAATGACTGCTTCAAATTCTTTCATAGTTATCGGCCTATTGCGATTTTTACAATCTTCCTGATTGGGTTTTGGAAGGTTGTATTTTTCTAGGAATATGTCCATTTCTTCCAGGTTTTCTAGTTTGTTAGAATAGAGTTCTTCATAGTAAGTATTTTTTTTAACAATCCTTTGTATTTCTGTTGGGTCTGTTATTATTTTGCCTCTTTCATTTCTGATTTTGTTTATTTGGGTCCTCTATCTTTGCTTCTTGGAGAGCCTGGCTAGAGGTTCATCAATCTTGTTTATCCTTTCAAAGAACCACTCTTGGTTTCATTGATCTTCTGTATTGGTTTTTTGTTTTTTTGGGGTTTTTTTTTGGTTTCTATGTCATTTATTTCTGCTCTGATCTTTATTATCTCCTTCCTTCTGCTCACTCTGGGCTTTTCTTGTTGCTCTCTTTCTAAT